ATCCAGCACACATACCTGTAAAAACTTCTCTTAGTAAATTCYTCCACCTTTTCCCATATGCTGCTAGGGTATATAAAAACAGACACAGCTTCTGCCTGTTGAAGCTGACAAATGATCCCAGATGCACAGAATCACACAATGATTGAGGTTGGAAGGGACCTCTAGAGGTCATCTAGTCCAACCCCCCTGCTCCAGCAGGGACATCCAGAGCACAGGGTCCCATCCAGGTGGTTTTTGAAGATCTCCAAATTATTCTCTACCCTCACCCTACTCCCAATCAATAGATATTCAGAGGAATACATGGCAAAATCACAGTTTGAGTTTGTGTGCCTTCTACATATCAAAATAGTGCTCAACACAAATGTTATGAATACCTAAAATAATTCAAACATAATTAAAAGAAGGAAAAACAAACAGCAGTGGACCTACGCACTTTGTTTCCTTTCTGAGATAAACTGCTGGAATGAGAGAGTTGAACTGAGAAAAAAAAAAAAAACCCTGAAAAGCAGTGGGAGGAGAACAAGAGGGAATAAACAGGGAGGTGAAGGCATCAGGATGGGGCCCTGCTCACAGGGAAATCCATGTTTAGAAAGGCCCAGAGAACAGACATCTGGATGGCATTGACAAAAATGACCTTGCTGACCAGAAATGACAAAATAAGGACAGCAACAGCTCTCAAATACTGCAGGAGATGTCCTAAACAAGGACCATGTTTTCCTTCTGATTGCATAACTCACAATAATTCTACCTCCTTTCAATAATGTTTCCCAAAACTTTTGGAAAAGGCATTTCTTTGTAACCTCTAACAGTTTCAATAATCTACGAGATTCTGATAATTTTATCACTGCTAACCTGCCTTTTTAACCTCCGTTTACCCTCAGGCCTGCTCCCCCTGCTTACCCGCCGTCTTTAGACAGAACCTGCTCRTCTAAAATAGCTGTGGTTCAGAAAATCCAGACAGTAGAAATCAGTGAGGTGCTCCTGGTGCTGGATGCCATCTCTATACGCTTTTGGCATCCAACTTTTGCACTCTTTGATCTAGGGTTCAAGATCTGCTTTATCTCGGATTTTGCAGCCTATCAGAGGAGGTATCTGCCAACTAATTGTTTAAACATTTAGGATTAAGGCAATAACAGCTGATGTTGGAAATGGTAGAGAGGTTTAAGGATTCTTAGGTTAAGGAAGCTAAGGTTAGGGAGCCTACAAAGAGCAAAAGCTTCTTCCACTCAGTCAAAATTAAGTTACATTTCTTTAAATAAGCTATTCCCAAGTGGCAACTCCTCACTAAACTCCACAAAAGTTCTCATGAGAGGCCCATAAAACCTTTAATCAAAGGAATGACCATATTTTATGTTCAGTGGCATTAACGAGGATTGTCTGAATTTCTAAATAGTCAATATTAAACAATGCAAATGTTGTAAAATTTCTTATGGTTTCCTTTGACCTTTTAATGCCCCTCTATGCTTATTCAGCASTGCATTCCAGCTGGAATTTTCAGAGCTGCAAGCACCTGCAGGAAACCTGCAGGAAGGAGCTTTATTTCCTGGGCTTTCTAGGCTTATTTCCTTTTATCATGGAAATATTCTTACTGAGCTTCTTTTTGGTAGTCTGAATTTCACTTTATTTCAAAAGCTAATTTAGAGAAAATTACATTGACATGTACTTCACCTAAATGAGAATATGAAGTTATTCACAGGACTTTGCTGTGGCTATGTTAGAATAAAAACTGAAAGAAAACAAAAGCTTTTGTACTACCTTTGTGTGAGTGTCTAGTAATTATTCAGCTGTGTCTAGTAGTGCAGGAGGTAAATACTGCCCTGAGARGCAGCCAGGTTTTGGGAAGCATTTCTCTTTGGCAGAGGTTCACTTTGATTCACTCCTCTTTATTTACCAARTTCTTCACAGAGCAGGAGCTGGATYTGAAATTGTGGGTTGTCCGGCTTAGGAGAAAAAGCCTCTTCTCTTTCATGAGCAGTGCATGGTTCACACTTCTCAGCATAAACACCAAAAAGCCTTTCAGATACTTAGTTCTATATTTGAATGATAAAAATTAGCACTAACAGGGCTGCTAAGCTGTTGGCATCCTGTTGTTAGCGTGGGGCAGGTTGGCCTGCTCTAAGGGCATGACCACTTCTCTGCACTTCCCTTTAGTCTGGCCGGACACCCCATCTGCACGACACCCCAACGGAGGGGTCCCCTCTGCTCAGAAGTCCCCGTGCACTGCGAGGGGGACACAGGAGCAAGGCAGGAAGGAAGGGCAGCCCCCCTGTGTGCAAACTAAGCTCCACTTACATAATGTGTGYTGGTGCCCTCACATACACGTGCACAGACACTCTTCAAAGCCATCCGCTCCTGCACAGGCGCATGGAAGTGGCATATTCCCACTGGGCAAACATACGTGATCGCATCACATTGCTAGAAAGAAAGCAGCACGCAAACATTTATTCTGGGTGGTATGAAGAGCTTTTGGTGCAGACGACGAGTCTGTGAACATCGGGGCAAGGTGGGTATATGAGAACTGATTGCCAGGAGGATTTTGGAGCCCCCTGTACTACTCAAAGCAAGTTTGTTGCTTCGTTTCTGCTATGGTTTGAAACTGGGGGCAAGCACATCTACATATATATTTACTGTATACATTCATTATACATATAATACATGCCTTGCCTTGGAGAAGAGGCTCTCCCAGCTACGTTACTGATGGACTGATGGCTGTGGTTTTAGAGAAAGCAACAAGTTATGTGTATGCAGCAACCATATAATGACCTAAATGGATCTACTTTACAATGTGAACAGTTGCTGTTTGGTAGCAAAAAAAAAAAAGAGGAGGGAGAGAATGGAACTTTCTTTTTTTTAGGCAAATTCTGGTCAACTATGGTAGGGAGTGAGAAACAGAAGGTCGATACAGGAAATATTTTTCTTGTTCTTTGCTGTCCTTTTTTCCCCTCTTGCAATACCTTGACCGCCCCTTGAGTCACCCTGTTCCATTTCTTCACTTGTCACCAACAGAATTGTTTACTGATATTTGCTTGAATCTGCATTATTTTAAGCAAGTTCCAACTGTGTTTCTTTTCTGCATGTGTAAATACAGATTTGTGGATGCACATCAGCAATATACCCACAGACAAGATCTTAAAAGAGCCTTTTGAGAGCTAGTGTGGAGCCTTGAATAACTTCTATTGCACTAGCATATAAGGAAGGTCAAATGCCAGTATAAATAGATTTTGCTACATATTACATAATCATTTACATTTACAGATTTATTTCAGCACCCTGATTTACTGAGAGAAAAAGAAGCTGTCTAAGGAGGCTGGGTGGGAGAAGGCAGAACACAGTATCGGTCCTTGGTGAAAATATTCCTCTCTTCCTTCTGCTTGGATTGTTCTCTCCATAGGGAAATGAGCGCATGAAGGTTATTTGTAGGAAGTCAGCTCCAAAAGAAGTGAAGTGTGGAAATCCAAAGACGCAGAGAGAATGTACTTTCTTGCACATCTAGTCTAAGTCAAGCAGAATGAGCCATCTAGCTCCTGAGATGCTTAGTAATAGACTTTTAATAGACTCCAGGACTTGTACGCTCGCCTGCATGGAAGAGTGGAAGGGCAGGAGGAGGAAGAGAAATAAATCTTACATTTCTTTCTATCAACATTTATTATGAAACCCTTACACATATACCATGCAGAAAAACTGAAGAATCCCTCTGTCTTTAAGACGCTCTAGATAATCTAGGAAATGGGACACTATGAATAGGTTTTAATATTTTCCCCTCGAGAGAAGATGCCTAAACTAATGAAATAAGTGGGAAATGTATAGCCTGACTAAAAACACATATAAAGTTTATTGTAAACTCCGTGCCTTGTGTACAAAGGGGTGTCACAGCCAGCAACTCTTCCTCACAAGCCGTTACCTGCAGAGCCCACCTTCAGCATCCACCTTCACCTGCAGAAGGCACAACTTGCTGCTAATTGGCATGCACTAGGGGAAAAAAAACATACGCGTATCGAGAGACGAAGCTTGGATGTTCTCTAGGGCTCCAGCAAGTTCCACTTTTCACATCAGTCACTTAATTGAGTCTCCTATGAATCATCCCAAACTTTACACTCAGCCCTTACGAAACCTCTTTCCATATATGAAGTATTACATAAAACTTCAGTTATAAAAACTGTAATTATGTCATTTTTAAAGCCTACCACATGCAGAGGCTCTAAGCCATTACTAAGCTGTCGCAGATGTAAATTCACRGCACAGGCACATCAGAGAAGTATTTCCGTGTCAGAGAAGGCTTTCCAGAGAGCATAGCCAGAGCCAGGAGCCTGCTTTCCTCTCCATCCCTACGAAGCAGCATCCAGGAGCTACTCTAAGTGCTTCCTGTGCTCTTGCTCTGCCCAGCAGCAGTGTCAGGAGCTGCCTCCGTGGAGGCCAAGCAGCCAGAGAGCAGCCACAACTGGGCAAGACTGGACAACTTTTTGCCCGGAGCTCCTCCAACCAGTTTCAGTGCTCCTGAGGGATCTAACCGGTGGCAGAAGCGGCAGGCAGATCCTATGAGCTGCCCACTCACCCTGCCCTGCGTGCCGCTCAYGCAGGTGCATTTACAGCAGGAAGCAGCTCCCGGTTTGGTGGGAAGCCCCAGGGATAATGGCCCGGCAGCACAAATGCAAGTCCCAGGTTAGCAAAGCCTCACGCCGCCGGGTGACAGCCGGCAGCACGGCGCCGAGGCGGCTGCACGCGCTTGTCCCCGACTGCTGCCCCACGGATCCAGGGGGTCGCGGGTGGCACAAGCCCCAGCTACCCCGCGAGCCGCTCGCGCTCGGACAGCACGTCCCGGCCAGGAGAGGGGAGCGGGCAGGACACGCGCCTGGCGCCTCACGAGCGTCCCCAGCCCCGGAGGAGCTTGGCCCCGGCCCTGGGGAGCGCGCGGAGGCCCCGCAGCGCAGCCCGGGGCTGCCCTGGGCACCGGCCCGCGCCCCGGCGCCTCTCCCGCCGCGCCTCGGCGGGGCGGCACCCACCTGTAGGACACCTGCTTCCTGAACGTGAGGCTGCGCAGCTTCTCCTCCAGCGACTCCTCGGC